TTTAAATAAATAATTTAATACTAATATTAATATATTTTTTATAAATTTTATATAATATTTTTAAATTTATATTTTATTTAAAAATAAAAACATTATCGCTTTTTTAAAACAACATAAAATCGTATTATATTGACATGGATAAAAAATAAAACGAAATATTGAAATGAAATTGTGTCTCGATGCATTGTACGAGTATCTTTCTAGTCATTCAAAATTAGAAAGTTTAATGATTTTTTCATAAAAAGATAATTTAAAAATTAAACCATTTAAAATAAAAAATAACTTTTCCGTGATAATAATTATGAAAATATCAATCTATAAACAAATAAAACTTTTTAAGTGATGAAAGCAAAAATTAGGAAAGTAAAAAATTAGGGGTAATTTGAGTAACAACCATCACCGGCGAGTGTCTCGACGCCGTCGCAATCATTTCCTTTGGCTCCGGTAAGCAAACCTCCAACCGTTTTTTTTCTTCCAGTTTTTGGTTTGTTTGACCTAATCGATCCTTATGCGTCTCTCCTAATTTTCTCGATCATATCGTGTTTAGGGCAGTAATCTATTTATGATGTTCGACTTGCTCTCTCTTGATCATATGTATAGATTGAAAACTAGTTGGATCTTCAAAATTCTTGTGTGCTTCATGTTCTCTTGTGATTTCTGCATATAATTAAGTGTACTAATCGCTGTGAATGATAAATTGGGTAATTAAATTCATCTACAGTACATGGCATGCCACAATCAAATAGGATATTTTTCAGTTCAATTCCCTGTCTGTACCTGGTTCCATTTTTCCTGATCCATTCTCTGGTTGCTATTCCACTATGTGCAATTTAATCCTGCCAAATGCTTCCGAGTTTCAAACAATTATGATCAAGATTTGTGTCTTTTTAGAGGTCTCTAGGAATGTGTTGGGTATCCAGGAAGAACCGGACAAGACATGATAACTGTTGAACATTTGATAAGATAAAATTGGACAGAACAAAACAAGTAAAATAACTAATTCACCCCTAACGAGTTGTTTATTTTAATTAATTTATGTAATTTATTAAATTATAATAGAATAATTATTTTTTTATACCAAAATATATCATTTGAAATTTTCCATTAAAAAAACTAAAATGACACCAAATAAAATTTAAAGAATGAAAAAAATGTAAAAAGGAGACATATTTGATGTTTTAGAAGAGAATTTAAGTTTTATTTTGAGGTTATATTGATAAAATATAAGTCTGTTTCACCTTGTTCTACCTGTTCCATGCGGTAAGGGTGGAAAAGGCATGTTCCACGGGGTAATGTTCCACTCTGTTCCACATAAAAGTCATGACAAACATGGGACAGAGATCCCTGTTTTGTTCTATCATGTTCATCGTACCAAACGCACCCTAGGAGATATTTGTAAAGTAATATTTTGTTTAAAGTTTTTTATATTACTATTTTATATTATATATTTAATAGTTTATAAGAATGCAAAAATTACAATCCAAAAGAGAAAATGTATAGGAATGAAGATCCAATTCATTTGAAAGAATTTAAAGAATCTATAGTTTGTCACATCTTTACACCCATCACGTGATAAAGTTATTATACTTGCAAGTGGAAGACAAATATATAGATGCAATGACAAAATGTAATTTATGTAATTATAAATGTGTATGTGTGTGTGAGTATATATATATATATATATATATATTATAATTAAATATATAAAATTGCTTGATATGTAACTAGAAAAGTTAAATGTTGAAACATTAAAAAAAACACAAGATCAATAATTGGAATACACATTTATTATATATATATGCAAATGGAAGTCAGCTGCTAGGGACACCTACTTTTACATTATCCTTTAATGTGATGAGACTGGAAATCTACTCTCATTCGTTCACCCAAACTCAGTCAACGCCTTTGCTTCATCTGCTCATTTTCATCAAGAGACACAGTCTTCCCTTTTTCCAATGGTTGTTGCTGAAATCTTTCTTGGTGCATTTGTCGCTGTGCTGTTTGAGAAACTGGCCTCTGCTGAGTTAATAAGGCTCGCTCAATCTGAAGGAATTGATGTTCAGCTGAACAAATGGAAAGACACTTTGTCCCAGATCCAAGCTGTGCTTGTTGATGCTTGAGAGAAAGTGCTGTTGAGTTATGGCTGCACAAACTCCAGCATTTGGCTTACGACATAGATGACCTCCTCGACGATTTGGCCACCGAAGCTATGCGGCGCCGGTTGGAAGAAGAATCTTATGCCAATACCAGTACTAGTAAGGTATTTAAGATCATTCCAACTTTTACAAAGTTCACACCTCATGCTATTATGTATGGTCGTAAGATGAGTTCTAAACTCAATGTAGTTACAACCAAATTGTGTGATCTTGTAGAGGAGAAAAATATGTTGGGTTTGAATAATAATGTTGAAAGGTCAAATAGAGCAAGCAGACGATTGGAGGAAACTTCGTTGGTTGATGTATCCAAAATTGTGGGCCGAGAAAGGGATAAAGAGGCATTGCTCAGGAAGTTGTTGGGAAATGACCCATGTAGTGAAATTTTCAGCATCGTGTCCATAGTTGGCCTGGGAGGGATTGGGAAGACTACTCTTGCCCAAGTTCTGTACAATGAAAAGAAAGTGAAGGATCACTTTGAACTCATGGCATGGGTTTGTGTTTCTGATGAGTTCGATATATTTAATATTAGCAAGACTATATTACAAGCTGTAGGAGGAGAGGACAAAAGGTTTGTGGATCTAAATCAGCTTCAAGTGGCCCTTACAGAAAGAATTTCAAAGAAAAGGTTCCTATTTGTTCTAGACGATGTTTGGAACGAAGACTACAAGGAGTGGGAACTCCTTCAACGCCCGTTTCTTGTAGGGGGACCTGGAAGTAAAATTATTTTGACAACACAAAAGACCAAAGTTGCATCAATGATGGACTCCGTTCAAGCTTACCCTCTAGAGCTTTTGTCAAATGAAGAAGCTCTATCTTTATTTGCTCAACATGCATTGGGTAAACAAAACTTCGATTCACATCCAACTCTTCAATTGCATGGTGAAGGAATCATGATGAAATGTGGTGGGTTGCCTTTGGCGTTGATAACACTTGGGAGGGTGTTGAGAACAAAAGCAAATGATGAGGAATGGGAGGAGTTGCTAAATAGTGAGATATGGAATTTACATAATGAAAGTAAGATTCTTCCGGCTCTAAGACTAAGCTACTATGATCTCCCTCCGCATTTGAAGCAGTTGTTTGCATATTGCTCCTTATTCCCCAAGGACTACATATTTGACAAGGATGAACTAGTGCTGTTGTGGATGGCAGAAGGGTTTTTGTACAGGTCAAATGGCAACATGTCAATGGAGAATTTAGGCCGTGAGTGTTTTAAAGAGCTACAGTCAAGGTCGTTTTTTCAACATTCAAGTAATCATAAGTCACAATATATAATGCATGACTTGATAAATGACTTGGCCACGAGTGTTGCAGGGGAGTTTTTCTTTACTTTGGATGATAAGATGAATGTTTACGAAAAGAATGAAGCTCTGCAAAAGTTCCACCATGTTTCATTTGTTCGTCAAAAGTATGGAGTATACAAATATTTCAAAGCATTACAAAGATCTAGACGCCTACGTACGTTCTTAGCTGTGCCAGTAAATTCACGATATGGGTTCCACTTATCAAACAAGGTTCTTTTTGAACTAATTCCCAAGCTACGGTTCTTAAGGGTGCTAAGCCTGACTTCTTATTCAATCAAAGAGGTCCCTCAATCCATTGGTAGTCTCAAGCATATACGATACCTTAACTTTTCCAAAACCGACATCACTTGTTTACCGGAACAAGTTGGTGACCTTTATAATCTACAGAGTTTGTTGGTTTCTCATTGTCTTGAATTATCTAGCTTGCCAGACAGTTGTGTGAAGTTAATAAATCTACGGCATCTTGACATAAGTGATACTCCAAAGTTGAACAAGATGCCCTTAGGCATTGGTGGGTTAACGAGTCTACAAACTCTATCCAAAGTCAGTATTGGAAGAGCTAATGGATTCAAAGTATCCGATCTTAAGGGCCTACCCCATCTTCAAGGTCGAGTTTCCATTCAGGGACTGCACACAGTGACAAATGCAATACATGCAAAAGAAGCCAACTTATTGCAAAAGAAGGGTCTTTGTGATTTGGAGATGGAATGGAGTGATGTCTTTGATGGTTCTCGGAATGAAATAATTGAATATGGAGTACTTAAGGGACTAAGGCCTTATGATAAGTTGAGAAGCCTAAAGATTTCGTACTACATGGGAATAAAATTTCCTAGTTGGGTTGGGGATTCATCATTTGTTTGCTTAAACCAGCTTACACTACGTGGCTGTAAAAGTTGTACAAGTCTACCAACACTTGGACATCTACGGTCACTTCAGAAGTTGTTTGTTGAGGACATGAGTGGGTTGAAGAGGCTGGGTTTGGAGTTACTTGGAGCTTCTAATTCTTCTCATGATATTGCATTTCCATCGCTCGAAGTTTTGAAATTTAGAGATATGCAGGGCTGGGAAATATGGTCAACCGATGGTGGTGAAGGAGATGGAGTCGCTAGATCGTATCCTTGTCTTCGTGAGATTTCTATGATAAATTGCCCAAAACTCAATGCAGTGGAAATTGAGTTAATACCATCACTTCGGGTTTTAGATATACAAGGATGTTCTGTAGCCGTGTTAAGAAGCATGGTTGGTGTGTCTCCATCAATTCTTAGGTTGACAATGGTGAATGTTGAAGGGCTTACTCAGCTAGATGAAGATGTTTTAGAGCATCTTGGGGCAGTAGAACAAATATGGTTCAGAAGTTGTCATGATCTTAGATACTTGTGGGAATCAGAATTGGAGGCATGCAAGATTCTTGTGAGTTTATGGGATTTGAGAGTAGAATTCTGTCAAAAATTAGTGTCATTGGTAGAGAAAGAGGGTGATTCGGGGATTAGCTTGAAATCGCTTAGACATGTGTATATTGACAATTGTCCGAAACTGAGGAGTTACAATTGTCCATATAGTATTGAGAAGTTGGTGATAGACCATTGTCCGTTAGTTACATCCTTGACATTTTCAGCGGTACATGACCTCACATCAACTATGAAGATTCTTGACATCAACTCATCTCATAATTTGGAGGTGAGTTGGCTTCTCAACAACTTCTTGTCATCGCTTGGATCTCTTTGTATTAATAGTGTGGCGAATGTGAGGTCGTTTCCTGAAGGTTGCTTAGTTCATCTCACCTCATTGATAGTTAGTAACTGTGGTGACATAGAATCAATTCCTGAGAATGGTTTTGGTTTCCTTCCCGTTCTTTGCCTAAGATCTCTTCATATCCATAATTGCAAGAATCTTAAGTCATTTCCTCATGAGCATTTGCAAAGTCTCTCGTCGCTGGAAAAGCTATGGATAAGAGATTGTCCAAGCATGGACTACTCATTTCCTTGTGGTTTGTGGCCTCCTAATTTAAGTTTCTTGTCAATAGGAGACTTAAAAAAGCCCATGTCAGAATGGGGGCTGCAAAATTTTCCGACCTCACTTCTTGAATTGTGTATAGTGGGCAAGAATTCAGGAATCGTTTCATTTGCAACGACAGAAGATGTGAGAAGGAATAGCAACAATACTACTACTTCATTATCTTTGTTTCTTCCGCCATCTTTAACTTATCTACGTGTCAATGGTTTTATGGAATTGGAATCACTTTCAAAGGGCCTACAGCACCTCACCTATCTGGAAAAAGTTGCGACCTTGTCATGCCCGAAGCTTCGAGATCTGCCAGAGACTCTACTTCCTTTACTCTCATTTTTGTTGGTGAAGTCTTGCCCGAAACTGGAAAAAAGATGCAGTAAAAAGGGTAATTATTGGCCCATCATCTCCCAAATCCCTCACCTTGATATAGATTGATCACAAGTACATCCTCTCTTTGCACTTGGTCTTTTAGAACCATCTCCATTATTCACTTGTACAAAAGTATTAGAAGTATTGGTTTTAATTTCATTATGTATTTTTTTTCTAATTTTATATTCATTACAAGATATTACTCACATTAGTTTAAATTTCTTTAAAACCATTACTTTAAGTTTAGTTGATTGCATGTTTGTTGTGTTTAAGTTTAAAGAACCTGGTGTTATGTCTTTAAGAGATTGTAGGCCATCTACCTGCACGTATTGTAGGTCAAGACACGTATAGAGGGCCGACTGAATCGAGGAGCTGCTGGTTATTTAATCTGGTTTGTTTGCTACACAGCCAAGAGGGACATAAGGAGTTCAATTCCAGCCTAAAGAGCTGTTGAACATTAGCCACTGTTAATTGTTAGTTACCGTTGTTCTTTTCATGCTCTTCAATTTACTTTATTGGGAACTTATTAGTAGGAGGATATGATATCAGAAATGTATGGAGTAATTCAATACAAAGTCTAGTTACATATAGTTGGTGGCTTAGATCTAAGTTCCCAATTGCATTCAGCACAACAGGTATCTGAGCGGTTGCTCCATGGCAGTAGTTTTGAATTTAGAAGGCCACTATGCCTGATATGATATGCTTTGACAAATTTCCCAAAATCTTCATGGAACCTAAAGGACTGCCACCAATAACACATGATCACGGTATTCCCTTGATGCCAAATTGATCAAACCAGTTGATATTAGACCCTATAAATGTGCATACTCACTAAGAAGAGATTGAAAAGATTGTCAATGAGCTGTTGCAGCTAGGGGTTAATAAACACAACTTCCCTTTTGCATCACCTGTGTTGTTAGTAAAGAAGAATGATGTTACTAATATTATGAGAACAATGACTGCTTTAATAGATGCAATGAAGGACAAACTAAAGCAAGCACAGCAATGGATGAAATTCTATGCAGACAAGAAGAGGAGTGAAAAGGTTGTTGGAAGTAAGGAACTGGGTATGCCGTAAACTTCAACCCAATAACCAAAATCCTCTTTCTTTGAGGTCTAGGCATTAAACTCCATCCAAAATTCTATTGTCCATAGCAATGTTTCCCATGTCCTGGTTCTTAAGCTTAAGTTGGTAAGAAGTTGACTCCATGTCTTGAACCACCTTCTGTCCTCTGAAGGTGTTTTCATAGTGGAACGTGCGGCCATTTTAGTTTGTGGAATGGTAGGGAAGGGTAAGTGGCCGGAGACCGTGGATAAGAACTACCTGGTAAAACTATGGAAAATGATGTCCCAAGTTCTAGAACTTGTAGCTAGGAATTTGGAAGAAGAGCTTCTCAAATTTTGTCCCCATTCAGCCAAGTAGCCAACTGTGTTTTCTATCATCACCACAGTACGATCCCATTCCTTGCTCAAGAAAGAAATAAATAACCAACCTTTTTTTTCTCATGAATCCGGACTTGAAGAACTCAAGAGCGTAGGATTTAATTCAGCCATAGGCTCTCCTATAGGTAAGCTGGTTTTGTTGTTTTGAGTTCTTATTGGGTTTTTCTGTAATAATTTGGATGAATAGAAAAGAAAAAAGACCCTTGTTTTCATTATTTATATGTGATATTTTAGAATTTGCAATTGGGATTTTTGTCATTTTGATTGAGAATGCAAATGGGTTCTATTAGTATCATTATAGAGAAACACAATTTCCTTAAGTCTTCATGGAACCCAAAGGACTGCAGCCACCAATAAGAACACAAGGATCACACTATTCCCTTGATGCCTAATATCCAACCAGTTAAGATTAGACCCATAAATCTGCATGCTCATAAGGAGGAGACTGAAAAGATTGTCTGATGGGATCATTAATCACAACATCGTCCGTTTGTCATCACCCATGTTCTTTTTCCCCTTTTTGGGTTTGTCATCACCCATGATCGTTAATCTGCATACTTTAAGTTGATGATGAATTAGCCTATGATGAACCATTCTTTTATCACAAGATGGTTGGGAAGTTGCTCTATTTGACCATTACTCGCGTTTGCTGCTCATTTGTTATTTGTCAAAGTCAGTTGTTGGTGATTGCAGTGTCATCAACTATTTGGTGTAATTGTGATTTATTTGAGATCAATTGAACTGATAAAGGCAAACATACATAAGTGAGTTATGGAGTGGACACGCATAAATGTTGTCCCTATCACCTTAGATCGCTATAAGGCGGGGGACAAGGGGGAAGAGCCCCTTTGCGGTTCAGGGCAGCACCCTGAGGTTTTTGGATTTTATGAAGAGTTGTAATTGGTGAAAATTTCACCAAGTGTAAGTCTGAGGTAGAGTAATCAAGATCTGTTCCTTCTATCAAAGTGCCATCAAAGTGCTGATGTATCGCTGAAAATTTTAAGTATAAAGTCTGAATAAGAACAATCATAGATCTGAACAATGGAATTAGAGATTTGGTCAATTGAATCAAATTTCAGACTAAACAAATTTGACTAAGGGGCGGTTTATCCAAAGACTTACCCGGTAAGCATTTGCCGGTTAAATTCAACGATTGCATTTACCTTAACGCGTAAGATTTTTTAGTCCATTAAAACGGCATCATATGTAAAAATTTACCTTGTAAGCGCTTAGCGGTTAACTTCAACGCTATCACTTACCTTACCGGGTAAGACTTTAGTCCACTAAAACGACATCGTGTGCAAAAATTTACCCGGTAAACGCTAGTCGGGTAAGAGCTATCACCCTCACTTACCGCGTAAGACCTCGGTCATTGCTTTCTCTCTTACCAGCCTACCAGGTAAGATTCTTTGTCGTTGCCATATTAATCGGTTAAGGTAATATAACTTGGTAAGCGCTTACCCGGATAAGTGTTTTGTCAATGGTCCCTAAGTCTAAGGTCGTGTTTGTTTTTTAAGAGGTACTCAAGTCTGAAGTCTAAAGTCTGATTTCACTTCTGATTTATAAGAGGTTGTGCTGAAGTCTAAAATTTGAAATCTGAATCAATCAGACTGTTTGTTTTTACATCTGAAGTCTGAAATCTGAATCAATATAAACACGAACAAAGTCTCATAACGACTAGAACCAATATTCATTTTGCATTAATTGTGTCGTCATCATTCCTTTGCTCGTTGGTTTGATTATGCTCATAAAATAACTCATATATAAGAGAGGTCCATTTGCAGATATCGTTTTGGAGAGATTGATTTGGATAGCTCGAGACCGAGCGAGAGAATGATATGGTGTCCAGATCGTATGATGTGGATAGATCGGTATGATTTGGTAGCCGGAGATCAAACGAGAGAGAGAGAGAGAGAGAGATCGATATGGTGTCCCCATGTGTGAATAAGAGCCCATTAAGGGTTTAGACTACCACTTAAAAATTCAGAGGACTATAAGAGCTTTTCAACTCTTATTTAAAAAAAAAATCAAACGGTCTGAAAATAAAAACGTCTGATCGATTCAGACTTAAAAGGTATTAAGAGATTTTTTTTTCAAAAAACAAACATGCCCTAACTAGACTTTGAAGTCAGATTTCTGAATTCATAGAACCAGACAACTCTCTACACTCGAACTGACTTTAGAATAAGAGTTTGATACCTGGGAGTCAGACTTCGATACTTTGAACCAAATTTTAGCTTGGTACAATCAGACTTCGGTCCTTGCAACTCTGATTCGGTTGTAACTGCTCTTTAGAGGTAATCATTTGTGGGTTTGGGTCAGCCCTAACATAATGTTTTCATCAAACAGGCCTAATATAGCAAACTTATGCCCGTTTTTGCGGGCTTATAGACTCGCATGTACATGTCTTATAAAAGGGCTGGGCTAACGGGCTTATTTATTTAACATTTAATTTTTTTTTATAAAATCATTTAAATTACTTACTTTCTTTCCAACATAAATAAGACGTAAAAGATATCAATGTACATAGCGTATGAAAGATATAGTTTCACAATATATGGATCATGGACATTTTCTCTTCAATGATTAATCCACCTAATATTTCAAGATCGAGATTGTAGATGTATTATATAAAATATCATATACTATATATTTGGGTGACGTTTGGTATTTAGTAGAGGGTATCCAACCCAAAGCCATTTCTAAATCTTTTTAATAAAAAACAATAAATCATTAATTACATATAAAACTTAATCAATTATAATAATATAATGGATCAGACGGGTTTGTCTGAATTCTGTTTTTAATTGACCAAGCCCGCCCATTAATTTTAGTGGTCCCTCCATTTTTTCGAGAATGATTGTCCAAGCCTTTTTTTTAACGCCGGGTCTAGCGGGCCATACTGCCCGTGAACAGTTCTACTGCTCTTCAACCTTATCAATTAACAGTTATAACCATTGAACCTCCTGTTAACGTGGATCTCTCATATAAATATGTAAACGAGAATATGGGGCATTTAAGATCTCGATCTCACGGCCTTCGAGAGGGAGAGTTTCTCCGAATACTTAATTCATGATACCCAAAGGCTATAAGAGACGAATTATTGTATTTAGGAAGTGTGTTCTACACAATCCAACGAGATTATCTAGTCACACATCATCTTCGAATCCCTACATAGAGCCTCGTGTCCCTCATTCATGTTGTAGAATTTTTCGTGCTATATATGTAACACATGTATGCATGATTGGTCAGATCATTATATATTTGGTGTCTCAAATGGGAGATGCCTTTTGTTTAGTATTCGGTAACCGCACATGCCTTGCGCTGGGCCAAACATCTCCTTTACTCACGTATATAAAAGTAGTCGTAATTGTAAGGGTGATGCTTGATTGGTTTGAGCTTGGCTCCAAAAGTTAAAAATATCATGAGGTCCTAGGTTCAAATCCAAGAAGAAATAAAAATCCTCTTGTGGCCACGGAGGTTTAAATGCGGTGACTCCGGGCTATTTGCAAAGCAGATGGTCGTCCTATGATTAGTCGGCTCGCATAACGGGTTGGATATTTAGGTTAATAAAAAAAAGTAGTTGTAAAACACTCCTCATGATCTTGTACTCCGCTTTCGGTTATTACAAAATACTGTCTTTATTTTAGTGATTTGAAATAATTTTGTTATAAATTATATGATTTTTGTCAATGTTGTGGAAACAATTAATGTAAAACTATCTTAACATAATTTTAACTTTAAAAAAATACATTGTTTTTTACTAAACGGGTACCCAAATGGTTTCCGAAACCCGTCAAGGATTAGTAAGGTCAGGGTTAGGGGATAAATTACCCCATCTTCAAGGTCGATTGGAGCTGCACACACGTGGCTGCAAAAGTTGTACATGGTTACCAACACTTGGACATCTACGGTGACTTCATAAGTTATTTGTTGAAAGCACGAGTGAGTTGAGCAGACTAGATTTCGAGTTAAGTGGTTGGTTGTTGGAGTTCCTTGGCACTAGTAATTCGCGCCATGGTATTGCATTTCCATCACTTGACTGTGTCGTAATTTAAAGATATGCATTTCCGTCACTTGAATTTAAACTCATATCCTCGTGAGAATATGCAAAGTCTTACATCTTTGGAACAGTTGTAGGCACGTAATTGTCCATTTCCTTGTGGATTGTGGGCTTTTAATCTAAATACCTTATCGATTAAAGAAGCCCATGTCAGAGAGAACCACTGAAAATGTGTCTTTACTAATTTTTCATTCATATAGGTTCGTCCTTGAGCCTCACTGTACTAATTAATAAGCGATGCATGCGGAATAAATTGTATTTCTAAGAATTTTTATCAAATATTTTGTAATATATACAAAAAATCGTATGAGAATAGGAGTTAAAAGTGAGAAGAGTAAGAAGATATTTATACCCTTGATCACTTTTAATCTTATCATTGCTCCATCAATTGTGTTTATTACAGAAACTTATATGCATCTGACTAATGTTGATCTTCAATTTAAGATTGATCCAAATCTCACCATTAAGTTAGAATCTAATCCTTATTATATATATATATATATATATATATATATATATATATATATATATATATAGGGGTCCATTCAAGGAAGAACTGACTAGTTTGTGGTAACCGTGAGATCCAATCTCGACCACAAATCAATAGATAAATTATGAAATTTATAATTTTGGTAATTTTTAATTAAAATTTTAATGCAAGAACATTTTAGGTATTTTCTCTCATCTCTCCTCTCTCCTCTCTTCTCTCTTCGTCCCCGTCTTCAGGTCACCGTCCTCCGGTGATACCATAGTGTGATACTCAATCACATATAAGATGTATTGTGATACCACTGTGTTACATATCCGATCGACCGTACAAACGACCACAATGTGATGCCCAGTTACATATAAGATGCATTGTGATACCACTGTGGTATCACCGGAGAACGGTGGCCGGAGGCCGAGGGACGGAGGCTCGGAGACGGAGAGAGAAGAGAGGAGATAATATACCTAAAATGTCATTGCATTAAAATTTTAATTAAAAATTACCAAAATTATAAATTTTCTAATTTATTTATTGATTTGTGGTTGAGATTGGATCTCACGGTTACCACAAACTAATTAGTTCTCATTTAATTAGGCCCATATATATATATATATATATATACATAGAGAGAGAGAGAGAGAGAGAGAGAGAGAGATAGTTTGTTTCAAATGCAACCATCGTATTTGTACAACCAATGCAACCCAATAAATTAAAATATTTATGAAAATAATGAGAGTTCATTTATTATGATTTAAATATATATAGAAGATGAATACAGTTTATTAATTATGATCAATATTTTATATTAGGAAACAATCAAAAATTCTATGAAATTACATATTCATCAAACTAGATAGAGGGTTGAGATCGAGTTGTATTGGTTGTACAAATGTAAGGGGTTGTATAATAACTCATATATATATATATATATATATATACATATACTATCTTATTAAGCAAATTTAGCAAAAGTCTTAAAGTCTTAAAATACTAAATGACCAAGATATCCTTTATAATATATTTAGGGGTTTTCTAACCCCACCCCCTCCTACACTCTTTCCCCTATATTTTCTATA